TTCATCAAAACATATTCACCACGGCAACACAAATCACCCCTCCATCACTAAATCATTTATCAAATTATGACTCGAAATAATAACCCTGACTTCATGGTGGCTCTAACAGTTAGCTCTGCTCCGGCTCACCTGTGAAGCGCTATGTAAGTAAGATGTGTCCGTTAGCTCTGCTCCGGCTCACCTGTGAAGCGCTATGTAAGTAAGATGTGTCCGTTAGCTCTGCTCCGGCTCACCTGTGAAGCGCTATATAAGTAAGATGTGTGGTTACCTGGAGGCGTCGAGTTTCTGCTGCTCCAGGATCCTCTGCTGAGCCTCCCAGCTGTTCTTCTCCTCTTCCAGCTGCCGGCGTTTCTCCTCCAGCTCTCGGTGCTGCAACTCCAGGTTCTTTTTCATCTGCTCGTGACGCCTCTGGAGCTAAAGACAAGTACATGAAGAAGAGACATGAAGAAGAGACATGGAGAAGAGACATGAAGAAGAGACATGAAGAAGAGACATGGAGAAGAGACATGGAGAAGAGACATGAAGAAGAGGGGACACATGTTGATGTAGAAGAGACATGAGGAAGAGGGGACACATGTTGATGTAGAAGAGACATGAAGAAGAGGGGACACATGTTGATGTAGAAGAGACATGAAGAAGAGGGGACACATGTTGATGTAGAAGAGACATGGAGAAGAGGGGACACATGTTGATGTAGAAGAGACATGAAGAAGAGGGGACACATGTTGATGTAGGAGAGACATGAAGAAGAGGGGACACATGTTGATGTAGAAGAGACATGAAGAAGAGAGGACACATGTTGATGTAGAAGAGACATAGAGAAGAGGGGACACATGTTGATGTAGAAGAGACATGAAGAAGAGGGGACACATGTTGATGTAGAAGAGACATGAAGAAGAGGGGACACATGTTGATGTAGAAGAGACATGAAGAAGAGGGGACACATGTTGATGTAGAAGAGACATGAAGAAGAGGGGACACATGTTGATGTAGAAGAGACTTGAAGAAGAGGGGACACATGTTGATGTAGAAGAGACATGAAGAAGAGGGGACACATGTTGATGTAGAAGAGACATGAAGAAGAGGGGACACATGTTGATGTAGAAGAGACATGAAGAAGAGGGGACACATGTTGATGTAGAAGAGACATGAAGAAGAGGGGACACATGTTGATGTAAAAGAGACATGAAGAAGAGGGGACACATGTTGATGTAGAAGAGACATGAAGGAGAGGGGACACATGTTGATGTGGAGGAGACATGGAGACAGAAAGCCTCTTGAATGTCTCGTTTACCTCGGCCTCGGAGTCTCGGAGCTTCATCAGCTTCTCCTTCACCTTCATCTCAAAGACCTGCTCCATCTCCTGTTCCATCTTCTTCATCTTGGACACGTGGTCCCGCCGCTCCTCCTCCATCTGGGCCAGAGGACTCCTGCAGACACAAAGCAGGGTTTAAAAACTCACACTCAGCAGAATCGTGCCCTGCCTACAGACTTAAAGGAGCCTTTCTGACTGCAGAGTGATGAAGAGGAGGAGGAGGTGCTTTCCTTCCCAGCGAGGAGGGAGGGAGGTGACAGGGTTCAACAGGAGAACAGCTGTTATTGGGAATCAAACCTAAAACTGCCCCACCCCACGTCTCCTGCTGAAACCCCTCTCTCCTGCAGAGAGGCTCCTGGAGTGTGCTGATTTGTTAATATGAAGGAGGAGGAAAGCAAAAGCCTTTTCTTTACAGTGTTATTTAGAATGAAGTAGCAACCTAGCAGCTTAGATCTGTGTCGAGATACGAAACAAACAACTGAGCCAAAGCATGTATTATTAGCGTTAAGCTAGCTGTTAACGTTAAGCTAGCCGTTAGCATTAAGCTAGCTGTTAGCATGGCTCTACGCAACGTGACGAAGAATCCCATCTGCCTTAGTTTGTGTTTTTTTAAATATGATAAATACAGCTCTGGACAAATTAATGAGACCTCTGAACATTATGAGTTTCCCTGCTTTACTATTTATAGGTATGTATTTGAGTCAGGGTTCATACACGTTTACACCAATGATTTTCAATGACTTCTCCAGGACCTTTACCTAATTTTCCATGACCAAAAACATTACTCTGTCTCAGCGGTACCAATGAACGTTGTGTATTTTAACATGGAACAGGAAAACAAGGTCTGCACATGAAACATGTTGTGCCTAAAACAAATCCAATAGGCTTACTAGCTTCTACTAAAATCTCTCACCAGCAAAATACCTCGACAGTTAAATGCCATTTTACGTTTCATTACTATACGATACAGTATTTATTATCATTATAGTATTAATATTTCGGCGATTAGATAAAATATAAATTATATTTGATGCAACTTTAGTTACATTTCCATGACTTTTCCAAAACCTTGGGAAAAATATTGTTTTCCAAAACTTTTCCAAACGTATTTAGAATTTCCATGACTTTTCCAGGTTTTCAATGACCGCAAGAACCCTGTTGAGTAAAATGTGTTTGTTGTATTTTATTCTATAAACTAATGACATTACCGAGTGGTCTCGTAGTTTCTTCTGGAGCTGTAGATAAAGTATTTACATAAATTGTGTTTGTTGTTATTTTTTGGGTCTTGTCCAGTTGTTGCCGTTTTCTTTTCTTTTCCTGAGTATTGTCCTCTGATTCTTGTGTTGGGTACGTTTACTTTTTGCCTGTCCTAAACATATTATAAATAGGATAAATCACACTTGTTTCCTTGCACCAAGTTAACGAGTTGAATGTTATTCAGCTGAGTTGACTCCGTTAGTGGATCAGTTTGTTGACTTCTCTGTATTTTCTTCAGCCAAACTGGAAACACCTTAGCTGCCAGAAATGTATATAATATAAATATTTGTTAATTATATTTAAATTGTATTCCTTAAAGTTGGGGTATCTAATTTTGGAGAAACCGGCTCGAGTGCGCTAGAATTTGAAAATACGCAGCCGAAAAAAATCTGCCTCTTCCTTCAGACTTCCTTACAGAGCCCCTCCTCCAACACACATGAACGCGCACATGACCAATGAGGGCACGAGATAAGTTTGTGCACAGATGGAAGGCTGACAGGCAGGTAGGCCATCCAGTTACTTTAGCCGGCTCAGATGATTGGTCGTGCTTTTTACAGAGCTACGGCTTCCACTAATGACATTTTTATGGATTTTTTGTCAAAGCACTTCAGATATTCATTACTATCGGGATGTTAAGAGCATTCCATGGAATATAACAAAAAGTGTATCTGGAGCCGGTTTCTCAAACTTACATACCCCACCTTTAAATTAATATAAATATCTTTATTTAGCTAATTCTTAACTTATTTTCTATGTTTCCAAAACCATTTGTATCCTGTTATTTTATTTATTTTATTATTTAATGGAGCCCCTTCCACAAAACCCAATTTCCCCAGGATGGTTAAAGTGTTCCTCCCAGAAGAATCCAGATCAGAGGATCAATTAGTCAGTGTTAGTTTAGTGTTCAGTGATTAGTTGAAGCTTCAGAGGTTAATCAATGAAACTGCACAAAGCGAGAAGCTGATTTCAGATCGTCACATGCATCAGATCACAGGTGTTTGGAAGGTGTCCCCGCCTCTCTTGTGGAATGATGTAACAGCCAAGCAGGATCAATGCATTTCAATCAGACACATTTCAAAGCCATGCAGGAGGAAAGCATGAAGGACTGAACGAGGGGATGAAGCCAAGGAGTTTGAAGAAGTCACTTACATGCTGTCAGATGTCTCAGTCCTAGAAACAAACACACAGACTCTTAACATGCTGCCGTGACCGTGCTTCAGCAGGCGGTGGATTAGAGCTCCGTTAGTACAGATTAAACACACTGCTGCTCAGTTAGAGTGTGTGTGTGTGTGTGTGTGTGTGTGTGTGTGTGTGTGTGTGTGTGTGTGTGTGTGTGTGTGTGTGTGTGTGTGTGTGTGTGTGTGTGTGTGTTTTAGTGCTGCCTCAGTGACAGCTTGCACACTGAGTGTCTGCAGACTGCAACCTTTGTCTGAACTGCAGATTCTGTTCACACTCAGCAGCGACATTCTCCCACCAGTTGATATTATTAAGGCCTTTTAAAAATCCCTAGCAGAGAGACATGGAGAAACAAAACAAGGACTCCAATGATCGGAGCACAGACACAAGAATCACACACATCAACAGATAAATAATAACATTAGGGTAAATGGACTGTACTTAGATAGCGCTTGATCCAGTCTTTAAGACCCCTCAAAGCGCTTTACATTCTACATGTCATTCACCCATTCACACAGAGCAGTGCACCTGACTCCAGGACCTAACATTCACACACCGTTGGCCATCGGAAGCAACTCAGGGTTAAGTATCTTGCCCAAGGATACATCGACATGTTGACTGCATGGGCTGGGATCGAACCCACAACCTTCTGGTTGAAAGACGGCCGCACTCCCTCACAGCCACAGTCGCCCATAAATCACAGCCACAGTCGCCCATAAATACGGTCGACTGGGGTTTTTCTATAAAGATATAGTACGAATACTGAGGCTCTGATCGTGTATAAGACGTATCAACGGAGGAAGAAGAAGTACTCAGATCTTGTACTCAACCAAAAGTATATAAGTACTGCGTTACAAGAGAGACTACCTTAAAGTAGGCGCTGATCTTGTTTATAAGATATACACATTCTGGTGACAACATGACGCCTGTATACAAGATGTCTCCTGACGTAAACAACAACATGACGTCGGAGCTCCGTAAAAACAAAGCTGTCTCTGCCGTTTGATACTCAGATCTCTGGAGGAATTACACAGCTTTTGAGGAACAGAAATATTGTTTTCTGATCACTTTAACATTTTACGGGGAACATCTGCATTTTGGTTTCAGGGCGCAGAGACCCTGTAATCCGGTGCAGACTGAACCCTTAAATAATCAGAGCGAACTCCAGTGGAAACAGCCCAAACGTCCCCTTTGTTAACGGACAAGGACTAGCACATCTACATGACGCTAGATAACAGCAAATAACCCAATGTTGCTTTAACTCAAATCATCTAATCCGTCCCAATCTTCATGTTTAATACGAGTCCAAGCCAACGACATTCACGTGGTTCATCTCTGCTTGCATCTTTAATTGTTGTTATTACCATGATATCATTATTATAGTTTGTTATTGTGAGCAGATGGACGTACTTGGTGAGCTGTCCCTTGTTCTTGTTGTTGTCCATGCCGTTATACGTGACTGCAGCGAGTTTCCTGCTGCGGTAATTCTCGTAGTGAACATTGTTCGTCACGTCCTTCAGGTCCTGCATGTTAGTGCTGGGGGGAAAAAAACATTTACATTTGAATGACTTTTCCTTTAATCTTTGGATACAATACTTGAAGTCACTGTTAACAAACAAGAGTTGATTTATTAAACACATTTCTCACCGGATGAGCATATTTCGGAGGATGGTGAAGTCACAGTGCTCTCCGTTCTCCACTGTGAGGGACACACAGAGCAGATACATTTGAAACAACTTGGTTTGTATTTCTGGTTATTATCAGTTAAACAACATAATTAATATCAGGACAGCGAGAGTCAGAGAGAAAACACGTGAACATTGGAGGAAAACCAGAATAATATGCATCATGACAGTATAGAGATACAACATATCTTCACATACAAGAAGTCGTTTTTAATGTATAAACTGGAATTAATTTGATTAAATAAATCAAAATTTTAGTGCATTTAGTTCCAGGACTACTTTTTTTATTGCACCCACAAGACATTATTTTTATTTATTCAATGCTTTTCTACGCTTATTGTTATTAAACAGTATAATTTGAGGATGTGTTCAGTTATATATTTTGTGTCAATAATATCATTTTACTGCCTTTTGTCATTTTATAAAATGATTTTGATTATCTTTTCGCTGATCACTGGATATATTCTTTGAAACACGATAATTTCAGTATGTTTCTTTTACTGTCTTTGTGAAGCACTTTGTAAGGTACATTTTTCAAATAGCCTTAAATAATCTCCAATGTATTAAAATAATAACCCAGAGAGCTGCAGGGAGAGGACACACCAGCAGGGGGCGTCCCTTCAGCACCGCTTAGCATTCCCTCTGCATTAAACCTCCCCCAGTCCTGACTCGGAGCCAGAGACATCTTTGGTATTCAAGAAATCCCAACAGACAAACAGTTCATAGTAAAACTCCCACAGTCCTCCAGCAGGCTGCATATATCTTCCAACCACCGTTACTACACTAACAGAGAGAACTCTTTAAAGTAGAGACACTACATACTGATATACACCTGAACATCAGCAGGAGAGGACTCTTTAAAGTAGAGACACTACATACTGATATACACCTGAACATCAGCAGGAGAGGACTCTTTAAAGTAGAGACACTACATACTGATATACACCTGAACATCAGCAGGAGAGGACTCTTTAAAGTAGAGACACTACATACTGATATAAACCTGAACATCAGCAGGAGAGGACTCTTTAAAGTAGAGACACTACATACTGATATACACCTGGGGCCGTATTCACAAAGCATTTTATCTTACCGCTAGGAGTGCTCCTAACTCGCGCTAAAACATTTTACGTAGGAGTTTTTTCTTAAAAGTTATTCACAAAGCCGCTGAGACCTACTCATACTAAGGATAAATCACTAAGAGTGAACTAAGAGTGACGCGCCGTTGCTATGGATGACGTCGATTCTCGTGCATGAGTTTAGAAGCGGTCAGTACGGTGATTGGTTGTTCAGAGAGGCGGTCTCGGTGAAACTCATCCGCAACATCCCACAAACGAGCCCACTAAATCACCGAAAAACAAGGAAATAGCTAGGCTAGAAATGTATTCCTATCAAATAGTTATGGACAGTGCAGTTAGCAGAATACACGCATGATGACAAGTTTGTGCAGACCACGATAATGACGTTGTATATGCACGTTAAAGAGAGAGAGCAAACAATAAAAATACGTAAATGCATTAAATCAGGAGGCAATTAAAAGCACCCTGCAAACTATTATCCAATGAGCATATTTCCAGCACTTAAACACTTTCAATAACAGCCCATACCGCCGTTAAGCCCCCTATCATGATGAATGAAAACAATCTGCGTGTTGATGGAATGTACTTTCTTTCTATTGACGAACACGTCCTCATCTTTTATGGCGCAATTATTTTATGTGCGTCCCGTCAATAGCACCGACCCACCGGGCATACCTGCATTGCCATGAAGTTGGCTTTGATCCTGTGTAGTTGTTGATTGTCCAAAGGAAACCGGATAAACTGTTGGATGATATGTGGTCTAGAGAGCGCGTTGATGGTTTGGTTTATGGCACAGCTGACTGATGGTTGCGATATTCCTAAATCGTCGGCATTGCAAAGTTGCATTTTCCCTGTTGCTAAATATCGTAGTGTTGCCAAACATTTTATTTCCGGACTAATCGGGTTATTCCTGTTAGTCGGGGATGTTATTGCATCCCGCACTAATTCCACAACAAGTTTGATACCCTCAAGATTTAGCCTATATCTCTTGATCAATTCACAGTCTTCCATTGT